GGCTTGCGGTACCATTTGGTTCTTGCTATGCCCCGTGTTACCTGAACTTGGATATTCAAAAATGGCAACCAATCCCCCACAGACTTTTCCCGTGAAAAGTTGATGTTTTGTGACTGCTTATTCAGGACATAGTAGCAAATGTCCAATTCTTTCTGAGTCGAACATATGATAAGGCAGTCATCAATGTAACGATAATATAGGATTGGGCCACGGTCCAGAACTGGCTTCTCGATTTTCGACGTGAACGCTATGGCCAACACAGGGGCTAATCGTTGCCTCATAGCTAGACCACGTAACTGCTTATAGTACTCGCCTGACCACCTGAAAACGGAGCATCCCAGGCACTCTGCCAACATCGTCATCACTTGCGTAACAGTGAACCCATGAAGGTGGAGATCAGGTTCATGTTCACATAGTAATTCGTATATGGCCTCCAGCGCTGCTTCATTCGAAACATTAGTGTACAGTGACGTGACGTCAAAGGATTCCATCACGCACCCTTCGGGGAGGCTAGCGCTGGACAACTTATTGAGTAGCATGCTAGTGTTAGTCACGTGGGCAGGGATGTACCGAAGCAATTGGCCCAAGATGATATTGAGAAACCAAGATATTTTGTCCGTCGGTCTCCCAACACCACTAACTATGGATCTAACTTTAAATTTGGTGGGATCCATCGAAACCATGTCCAAAGTTATGAGCTTATGCGTTTTAATCAATACGTACAGACGGGGCAGGCTGGTCGGTCACACTTAAGGCGACTGATGGTGGTATTAGGCAGACCTGCAGTCTTCGCCACACTACACCAAGTTTTGTTTGAGTTATGACATTGCTTTTTATATTCCTTTTCGGACGATTTGCAATATAAAGTGTCGTCGCTTAGGTGAAGCTTTGTGATTGCCTTATCAAGTTCTTGTGGGAGAACGGCAAATTCTCCACCCTTATCGCTAATTGACAATCGAATTCTACCCGTCTTTACGTAATCGCGTAATTCTCTGAACCCGCGTTTTTGTGATGCGGAGAGGTTTGAGATGGATTGTTTTCCGGCATGTTGCCAAACCACTCTAAAGACGGGGGTGGCAAGCAGTTGGAACTTAGTGTCTATTGCAACATCGGCCTCTTGGGGCTTATAGAAACTGGATGGGAAGGGTAGAGCAGGGAAATTCTTCCTCTTATCTGCCGTACCTCCTCCCCTCCGCATTGTTTTAGCTCTATATCGAAGCCGTTCATGAAGGGTTTGCAAGTACCCTACGATTTTACGAGAAACATTTGAGGTTATTGACTGTACAGGAGCGAAACTAGGATTCAGTTCTGGTAAGGAACGCGCATCGTTGGAAAGAGTGTCTTCGAACTTACAGGGTGTCTTCCCGCTCCAAACTACTGAGGAGAGCGCGGTCCATGTGGCCCATTTCCTCCACTGTCCGAGCTTTTCACTTTCGCTCCGGAAGCCCCAGCTCTACAAAATAGTTTTTTTCTGAGGTTCTGCATCTACACAGCCTCTCAATGCAGCGGGATCCCGTAGCACAACATTTTGCCTTTTTAACCTGAATTTTTTATTATGCGTGGAAATAAAACTCTTAAAACCGTTGGAATTGATATTGGAACTTTTTCTACAATGAGTGGATACCAGTAGTATTCAAAGAATAAAACCTAAAAAAGATTTTCTGCAATTATACAGTAACAAATTGTGGAGGAGCCAGGTGGAGAAAGTGGCAATGACAGAAAACGAAGTTTAATTTTTTTGAAGCCTATTGAGGTGATCTGTGGTACGCTTCACCACTTTCGTCAAGTACGCAGGGGTGTGTGTAGTACATTCGTGCGATTCGAGCTGCGCGCGGCAAATTGCACGGCGAAATTAATAGCGATTGTGACGACTTCAGCGCCTAATATTGGGGCCCGAATTTGAAGTAGATTAGATTAGTACTATCAGCTTACCATACTAAACTACTCTACTTCAAGTTCGTTTCCAATAGTAGGCGCCTTTGTCGTTCGGATCGCCACGAATTTCGCCACGCAATTTGCCGCGCGCAGCTCGAATCGCACGAATGTACCGTCCCCCACTACGCGGCAATCCTGGCAAAGCAAATGAAAGAGAGTGGCTCACCGAAGCGGCTAAGTTGCCGGTTTTTTTTCTGTTGTGTTAGGTAGCTGTTCAGAAGTGTTTTTCTTCAAAATTCAGCCTAACAGTTGGCACTTCAGAAGAATCTTCGTCCTTCTTGTACATATCCAGAACAGCCAGTTTCTTGTACTGGTTGTAGAGTGCGAGAAGCCAGGTTAGAGGACCCTAAACGATTGAACTGCACCGCTCACAGAGCTTTACCTTTAACCATGGTTCGTTATGTGTTACAGAGTTAAAGCTGTACTGATTCGTCGCAGCTTCCTAACTTTGACTGGCCCCTCTCTCTGGGTAGGTGCAGTCAACTTTATAGCAAGACGTAAGGAAAGCTTTTAGCGTAGGTGATATAGTGGCAAGTGACGCTTTATCACACAGACACATGAACCGAGGTTGAAATACGTGGTCGATATTTCCCAAGTACATGAAAGAAACGAAGCCAAACAGCACTAGATTTCTTGCGGAGGTTAGTTGAATCCAGACTCGTCATGGAGGATAAACGCAATGACTCGAACATGGTCTAGTTAACGCAACTTATTGTATAGACCACATATGCATTCAACACACCAAGGGTTGGTCCAAAGCAGTTGGGCGGAACAGACATTGGAATAAAATAAAAAAAATCAGCTGTATTGCAAAGAAACAAAAAGAATGAAGTTTATTGTGTTAAAGGAATAGTTCGTAACAAAACAGTATAATACAGTATAGTGAATAATAAAATAGAGTTATATTACAATTCTTTGTTGTTCTATACGTCTTGGATAAATATAATATAAATAAATATATATATATTATAATAATAATGATTAGGTAATGGAATATTAGATTAGAAGCTGCGATATCCTTACCTATCTATCTTGACACACGCAATGACCAACTACCATACGAAGGGAGCAACGTGATAAGCCCTGGTATGATACAACGCGCTGAGAGACTATGTATAGCAGCCGAATGATCACTACACCCAATGGAGCATTCAATACATATAATCTAATGAATTTCAGGGACCAGGTGGAATCTTAAAACGTCAACTACAAAGTAAATTCTATGAAAAAGACGATTCGCATGCTGATTGGGGACATAAGCTCGAATGCATTCAGTGGGTTTGCGCCGTCGATGGTACTGGCAACATCTCGGTTGTCGAAGAGCTCATTAAATAGACCTTATTGAAGGGCTGAGTGAACTAGCTTCGCCTGATATCTTCAGGTACTGCGCCCTGTTTAATGTATGTGATATTTGGATTCGTTCCCCATATGCACGTTCCGCTCGTTATTTCGTATATTCTTGCCAACAACTTCACTACCACTATTTCGTTCATTACATAGTGATAGTTCTGCTAATTGATTTCTTTTGTGATATAAAGCGTCGCGTTCGATCGTATCTGAATCAAGCTTCTTTTCGCCTGTTCCATTGAAATCAATAGGTGATAAAGTTTTATTGCAAATGGAGATTACCAACTGATAACAAAACGAGATAGTCTATTTGAAACATCGCAGTAAATCTCATTTGTTTGCTCTGTGACCCTGATAAATGTCGTACGCTTTGCGAGTTCCTGAAAAAAAAAAACATTTGCAGCTTCAGGACACTCCCTTCACAGAAGTTGAGAAAGTAAGCATTTTGAGATGAGTGAAAATGAGGAGCAACAAAATTTTGCCTATATTGAACAAATTTACTGTCTATTATGACTCAAAACGACAGAAACGCTCGTAATCGAATTCGATCTCGAAAGACCGAATCATATCGGCGTTATTAGAGCTTCCTTACGAGAATGTAATGGTCTCCACTTAAACCCTTGATAAACCTTTTCAGATATAGGTCACTAGTCCAAAATGAACCGGAGGAAGAATGCCTCAAAATCAGGCAGGAACTGGGGCCCTATATAAGGTTGGTCATGCCACAGTGATTCCCATGAAGGCTAAGGCGAGCTGACCTGGACATGGTTTTCGGATGATTTCGAGCATCCATGTAGCGACGGTGGGTGCCATAAGTTACTGCATGCCCTAGGAAGTCTCGAACTTTGGTAGAATTGTGGAGACCATTGATCTAATATCGACAAAAGTCAGCTAACACATTTTTAATAACAACCTTGCAAGGGCTCAAAACAAGCAACATCCAGCTACAACTATTGAAGCTCAGGGACTACAGAGGAGAATACATGCAGACTTAGTTGACAAGGCCCTGAAGAAGTTGTACATAAAACCGTTTCCTTTTTAGCAAATGCTTCACAGTGAGCATCAAAGCTGGGTTCGCTGCTGATAATAAACCCCAGATCGGCCACCTGTTCGACCGCAGCAAGCGGGACTCCATTGATATGATAACTACGCCGATTTGTTTTGACTTGATGATATGTTAACTGCTGTTTTAGCGCCGCAGCGCGCGAAGCGAAAGCACGTCGCGCGCTGCGGCGTTAAAACAGCAATTTAGAAAACACCAAGTCAAAACAAGTGATATCATGTAAAGCTTACAGCTTATCTGTCCAGTGCTGGTATTGGCCGACCTGCTCAACTCGTTGTACGTGTGAGTGCTGGTAAGCTATGGCATATGAGCCATTAAGAAGGTGAAAGCAAGCGGAGTCTCTGTAGTGTATGGGATGAGAGCACGGTTCCCGGAAAGGACAAGGACTGGTTCGAGTCCCGTCCGAGACTGGAGTTTAGCCCACAAATCGCCAGCCTTGTGAGACTACGCCGATTGTTTTTCGCACAGAGATGGAAAACTTGATTATAACTTCAGAAAGGGGCGAATCCCAATCTTTTGACCCCTGCACGATGATATCTAGTACAGATTGAAGTTCCTTTGCATCGTTTTCATATGAGTTTAAGGCGCTGTGATTGTTCATTCATAAGTCGAAATCACTCGTCCATTTCGGAATGCGTAGACGCTATGATTTTTATTTTTATTTTTATTCAGCAATACGTTGTATAAAACAACGTTAGAAACGACAGACCAAATACAATACCAGCAACACTAAAGACTGAACTGATAACAGCAATTTGAAATTAGAAATGGAATCATGGTACCAGCTATGCCTTCTTTACGAGCTTTGTATGAGATTTGCTACTAGGCTACTTTGGATGACGCCCGAAAGCCTGAGAAGTAGTTGGATTTACTGAAATGCAGGTATGAAAGACCTGCCCTGACAGTGAAAAAAGTGATGGTGGTTTGAGATTTGGGAAAAGATAATTTGAGCTCTCCACCCCCGGTGATAGATGGAACAAGGCTGTAAAACTGAGAAATATTAACCGCTGATCTCTTGCTGAGCAGATTATGAGTCATGCATAAGTCAAAGAAAGTTCGTCTGCAGTTAAGAGAAGGAAGATCATAATACTTGTTCCGTATTTTGGCCTTTGGTATTCTTGAATAACGAAATCCACCGAGACGAATAAGGATTTCCGGGTGAAATTATTTTGGACTACTCGATTGAAACAATGTGTTTCTTTATATGACGTTGACGGCAGAATACCACGTTCCCATTCTCCACTAATGGACGGATGTAAGTTTTGTAAGCCGGGGGTGTTCTAGTGTCCTTGGTTGTCAGAGCTTTGAAGATATAGTAGGTTCTATGGTACGCCCCTTTGCAGATTAGGTTACAATGTGAAGAGAAGTCAAGCTTATCATTGTATAGGAACCCTAGGTCCTTAACTTCATTAACCTTAGAAATCTCCTTAGTATCAATGGAGTAGCCAGGAGGACCCAAGTGCATATGACAGGATTTGCTATAGGACGGAGGAACTTGCCAATTTGTGGACCACTGTACGATGCTGTTGACGGAAGACTGTAGGGAAAGGACATCCAGAGGCGAGTTAACAACTTTGTGAAATTTCAAATCACCAGCATACTGTTTACACGCGACATCTTACTGAGAGCAAATCATGGGCAAGTCCGCAGAATATATATTGAAAGAGAGCTTATGCGAACTTGATAACTACGCTCACTGAGGTATTCCTCTATCCGCTTGTACACTTTCTCATGGGAACCAAACTTACGAATTTTATAGATCAGCTTTTTATGACTGACTTCATTCATCAAAGGCTTTAGTGAAGTCAAAGTAGGTTACATCAGTGCTCTTCTCATTATCTGAAGCCTCTGTTCAGTCTTTAAGTGATTCGAGCATATTCGTAAGTACAGACCTTCCTGTACAAAACCATGTTGTGAATCGGGAATCAATTTGTTTTCTGCAAGGTGAGCGAAATATGCCTTTTTAGCAGCTTCTCATACACTCTACAGAAAATGGATGTGATTTTGATGGGCCTGTAATTAGAAACGTCAAACGAGGGCGGTTTCTTCAAGACTGGTGTGATGTACGAGTGCTTTCTTAATCTAGGAACTTAGGAAAACATCACGAACTGATTATATAAATAGAACAAAAGAAAATCCATAGCGTGAGCTATATTGTTGATGAATTCAGTCGGCACATGGTCAGGTGTAATCGACGATGAACAGAGCAACTTGCTCAGAAGCTCATGAATATCATTTGCATGGAAATGAGGAAAAGTCCGCATCTGCTTTGAAATGTAAGGCGAGAATCGAGGATAATCGTTGCTGTCACCTTGGGACACTTTGCTAAACTCAGCCGCAGAGGCATTAGCCATGTCAAAATAGTTCACATGGAGTCTATCTTGTACTTTCAGATCCGTGAATAAAGATATACTTTTGAGTTTAGACCTGGTAAACTTGAAAAATCGATGTTTACTACTAGGTTCTATGATCTTCTTCTCAATACTGCTATTGAGTTTGATGAACTTGTTTGAAAATTTGCCTGAGAAAGCAAGTAGCTTAAAGTTATTCCTCATGATTACGTCATCAATTCTGCATTGATTTGATTTGTCCCTCATTGACATCCTGCACCAGATTCGTTGTTGTATACCGCAACCTAACTCTGTCAGGAAAGATGATGATGAATTGATTGATTTGCTTGTATCTCTCGCTTCCTTCAAGCAAGATACCATCTTTCCCGGAGATTTCAATCTCAAAAATGGCTGGCATGGTCCTACTCCCCTAGATGCCTCCTCGGAAACTTTCCTCAAGTTTTTTTTCGCATTCTTGTCTGAGCCAACTTGTGAATGACCCTAACGTCTCATATTAACGTCATCTCCAATTGGGTTTGACGTGACCACCCTCCCCCCCCCNCCCCCCCCCCCCCCCCCAATCATTACATCGGACCACGCAATGGTTCACTTCCTTGTTGATTTGGTTCCTTCACGTAGTTCTGTACTTCTACCAAAGCCAAATTTCCTGAACGTCGATTATACTTCTCTGAATGTAAGCTCTGATGAAGTCGGCTGGTCAAGGGATTCCGATGGTTATGTTTCGGGATCCGTCTTTTACCCCAGATTCTGCTTAAGTACCTTTGGGAAACCATCCCTACATGTTCCAATGAAGATTCCTCAGAAGCCATGCTTAAAGTATCCTAAGCAGATTGGCAGTCTACTTTCACAAAAAGAAAGGATATTACAAAAACTCTGTGGAACGTTGAAAGAGAGACTGTATAAGAAAGTATGTTTGGAGATTATTCATCATCTCAAGAAGTTTTGGGCTTCTCGTGAGTGGCGCTAGGCATCACCACCTTCTTCAAATATCTTTTCGCTCACATGAATTGGAAAGGAAAGGTTCTCTCCATTCGCCTATTATCGTTGACCGTAAGGGTGCAGAATGCCTATCAGATACCAGTAAGGCTATCGCCTTGAGTGAGTTTTTCGCGAGTTTTATCTCAAACGAAGGTTCCTCATGGTAGTGCTGCCCTTTCACCCGTCCAACGATTTCGAGACAATTTCTTCTTCCACCCCTATGACCTCGCAAGCTGCTTAAACGTCTCAAGTCCCCTATAACTGAACCTTACATTGTAATTTCCCCCATTGTTTTCAAGGAAGCGCTCGTCATCTGTCCGAGCCTCTGGCACACATTTTCAACGATTCCTTTATGTTAGACGAGGTGTTTCAGATTTGGAAAGAGGCGCTAATGACTGCTATCCCCAAAGTTTCAAAAGCGCACTTAGTTCCTGAACTCCGACCTATTAGTATTACACCCGCGCTAGTCAAGGTGGTGGAAAGAATGATAAGATAGAAGATAGTGAACTCGTGTAATAAGTCCAATCTTATTGCACCAGAACAGCACTGTTTTTTCCCAGGTGTTAGCACTGCCAGCAATCTGGTGGACAGCCTGTTCGGAAATTCGCGTCGAATCGTGGTGGATCTGTCGATGTTGTTTATGTTGATTTGTCGAAAGCGTTCGACAATTATCGAAAACTGCTGCAAATCCTCAATAGGTTAGGAATTTGTGGTCGATTACTAGAAGGGATTGGATCATCTCTAAGTAGTCACCCATGACGGTCAGGGTAGGCTGCGTCAACTCCTATAGACATCATTACATGAGTGGAGCACCGCAAGTTGGAGCTATGTCTCCATCTCTATTTATTCTACACACGATCGAGTTAACGCAGATGCTCAAAGTTTCTGTAAACGTTGGAGTGCAGGTTAACGCTGACGATGTGAAGATATATGAGTGGTACAATCAAAACAATCGTGATGAGGTCTGCAGAGCGTCACAACAATCTCTCGAGAAATTAATCAGCTGGGCTATGGATTTAGACTTAGTGGTGAACTTGGACAAATGTTGCGTGCTTCATCGTGGTGGCGGAGTAGCTCGTGATTTCTATGTTACCGGCGTGATGCTGGAAAAGTGTGAGAATGTGAATGATTTGGGTATTCTGATTGATGGAAAGCTGAAATTTTCCATTCACATTTGCAGTGTTGTTAGTAAAGATTGTAGCTCCCTCTTCACTATTTTTCCAAACGTACATGCATAGTGACGCATCCGTTACAGTCACGCGTCTATATCGAGCTTATGCAACACCTTATTTTCATTATTGCTCCCAAGTGTGGAAAGCTATACTATCAAAAAGAACATTCTTAAACTCGAGTCATTCTGGAATACTAGATTGGTTTTCCTTGAGGTCAGTAAGAGATTTCAACAGCGTGTTCTCTTGTGGCCATGGTGAGCGATCAAAACGATTGGGCTTGGCTACTCTACGTCTGTGTTCCGGCTTCTCTTTAGAGAAGTGAAATTGTCCTAAAGTAAATACTGGGACCTCACCAAGTAATGAGCGAGGGTACGGTTCTAGTTTGGATTATCCAAAATATCATAACAGGGAATCAAATCAGCTATTTGACTTCTTTCTCTGCCAGGTTGCCAGATGGTTTAGCTCTGCAAACAGCTGAGTCTTCGAATGTAAGCTGAGAGAATTGAATCTGCTGGAGGTCTCAGGTGAGTGAGATTTTGCTTAATTGTGCCATCAACGCGCATCCATTTCATACTATGCTTTGGTTTTTTTAGGAAGGCTGTTGCGTAACTCACATTAGCGTCTGCAGAGGGCCGCCGACGTGTTTGTTTTTCTTAAAGGAATATGTCTACTGGGTGTTTTTTATACGTATAGTAACAACACTATTCGTCCCTTGCTAGGCTTGTCCTAGAGTTGAACATTTCCCTTATCTCGGGCGACCTCATCTTCGAGTCGTACCTGGACTTTTTTTTCTTTTTATAGAAACTGCGAAAGGCAATCTCGAAGAATCAATCCATATTTACTCGACCTTGTGGACCCTTTCAGTCACCCAGGCTATACATGACTATAGTGAATTCCACATTTCAGTGCAGGTATACAAGAATTCAAGTCAAATACTTGGGCCTAGGTCTTACGCCCCTGGGCTCGTATTTAGATCAAAGAGCCACCTAATTTGGCCTGCTCGAAAACTGCCGCGGTCGTCTGCATTACCTATACTGACTATGCACCTTGCTGTACTTCAATATAACTGTATAGATGAGAGACCGATGCACAAATGCAGCACTCTCAACTTTTCAGGTATTCTTAGGTGACTGATGGCTCATGCCAACTTGGCATTAATTCTGGGTTTGTATGGTACGCCTCCTGACATACATTATTATGGTACTGCTACTATTGCTAGGTTTCGTTATACAAGTTATGCCGGCATTGTTTATTTCTTTCGTCGCCTCATGCTCGACTATCACTTTTCTAGTTTGTTTAGACGCACCAAGAGCGAACTTTACATAAATAAATGAACAATAATAGAACAAGTTTTGTAAGCATCCGGCGACGCCGAGAGCGTGTACGTAGAGGACAGTTTGAACTACTTCCCATTTTGAGTCTACTGACTAACTTTCCATCATACCTGCAAATTTAGCGACGTTCGACCAAGTCTGTTTGAGACGACTGCATTGTGATGAAACGTCTTTCTTAGTAACGCGGCAGTAAACAGAGGTATCGATGGGACGCAGATCAGTTATGGCTCGATCAAGTGTTTGCGACATAAAAACGAACTCACCTTCCTCGTCAATAATCGATATGCGTATGGTGCCACTCGAACTTAACTCGCGTAGTTCTCTCAACCCCTGCCATTGGTTGTACATCAAGTTCGTATTCCACAGTCTTCTGTATACCTTGACAACAGTCAGTACTTCTGCAGATAACATTCGAAACTTAACGTCAAGCTCAGGTAGGAGGGATTCTTTATAGAACTACGCGGAAGTGGTACCAAAGCTGTTGAGACACAGTTTGATTGACATTAATTAATTACTCACGATTAAACTAAAAGGACATAAATAGCGTGTATTGTATTCTTAGTTGAAATATATGTCGAAAGAACGAGTTTGCCAGCTTCTCCTGCCTAATCAGACCTGTAGGAAGATCGAGGGTGAGTCGAGGCGGATTTGCAATGCTATCCGATCTGCGACAACATCAGCGTTATGCGTAAAATACGGCAAACTTTGGAGAGCTAGTCATGGAGACTCTCACGACCACGTTTCCAATTCCACCACAGGTGATCGTCACAAGAACAAAGAAGCTCAAAGCGATGGTAACTAGGCGCAGGTTACAGTACAGTGCGTCTCCAGGTGATACAGCCACCTCTGCCCTTCCCAAAAACTCATAGAACACGATGTTTCTAAGAAAATGTCAAAGCAAAAAATGTGTCAGATCTAAATTGCGATTCGCACATAATCATCAAATCACGGCTCGGGAAAACAAACATTTCTTTTGGTAGAATTTTCAGTGGAGGTCGTGCCAACAAAATCGGTCCCGACTGGATCATCACAACTGAACCGCTTTTTATCGGAAAAACGACCTGAAGGAAAGAAACCATCAAGAGAAGGAAGGTCATATATCAGCACATGAAGAACAGCTTGATCCACTCGATTTGCTCGATGTTTTTTTGTCATGAAGGGCGCCTTACGCAATTTCCGCTCGAAGATAAACTGGGACTTCCTGACCACCTTCCTTTTTGGGACATTGAGGTTCAGAAACGATCGGATCTGCATACGGAAGTTGGTGGAGTTCGACACTTCTCTTAAAATACGGCGCTTTTCTCTGTCGGGCAGCAGCGAAGGACGTCCGGCACTTCCTCTGGTTCCACAGGCTTCAGAACTCTTGATGAATATCCACAACTGCATGACATCGACCCAAATATTGCGCGATTCTGCGATTCGACATTCCCTGCTCCTTTTTTGCAAGGATTTGACCGTTTCTCCAATTCCAGAAGCAGCTGTGCTCCTCCCATTGCCTGGAAATGAAGAACATCACATAAGCACAGCAATTTCGTTGAACTGAAACTAGACAAGAAGACATGAAGTTGCTGTATCATCTGAAGACGATGAAAAAGCGCCCTTTACTGAAAAATTGACGAAGAAAAATGTTCGTGCTCTCGTGCTGGAAATTGGTGGTAATGTGCGAATGGCAATTCAGATTCGACGCTTTTTTTTACTTCGGCACTTCTTCAGAAAGATCATGTTGTAAGTTTTTGAGGAAATCAGGGGTGCCTGTATCATGTGGAGACGCGCTGCACTTGGTGACGCTCGTCTCTCCTCTAATGCGCTAGAGGTGTTAAATTTGGGGCCGTCTTTCTAGCCTGCACAATATGAATGCGCAAAAGTTTCGCAAAACCGTTGGAGGTCTGCAGAGGTTTAAAGCGTGCTTTTCTGCGTACTAATTCAAACATGATCACGAATTTTGCAACTCTAGACTATGCGAAGGAATCCCAAAATGAACAACAGAAATTAGTGTCCATCCATAACCAGTGACCTTTTGCCATACCTACGGTTCTGCGTGCTGTGACTCGGTCAGTTGCATCGCAACACGATCATATTTATCAGTATAAGAGAGACTCAATAAGTTTCATTCGCTACTGACAGTCGCCTGTGGCGACAGCGGATTCTATCCGCTCTGACGGTGAAGCCTGGGTGAGTATTCCATGGAGTGCGTAGTTTCCCGATACCTTGCTGCTTTTTTTGCTAGAGAGTCAAACACTATCGGATATTGTGAAACAGCTCAACTTGCGTTTAGGCCTGTGAAGACGACGATTACGTCGAAACGTTAGGCCGTAGTTAGTAAAGTGCTCCACCTGAAAACCTTAAACGGCAGAAGAATTTTAAAAAACGTAAATGGCAATGCCGAAATTAGAACAAGAGAGAAGTTGGAGACTGCTGTCATGATTTGCGCGACTTGGATTACTATCAGACGGCCTGTCAGCGTGGGTCTGAAGCTGTAGCTCATACAAGTTTTTGCAATTTTTGATAGGCATTGCATGATTGCCTAGATTTCGCCTCGACAGGGATCAGACTCGCACTCTTCCTTCCCTGAGCGCAGACATGGCCCTACCCTTTTGTCCACTCGGCAATACCTCGCTGCCTCACTCGCCCGTATGGAGGTGCATGCGCCATATGGCGCGGCGGAATTCGTGGCGATTTGAACGACTGTGATGCCTATGATTGGGGCGTAGATTGGAAGTAGAGTAGATTAGTAGGGTCAACTGACCCACGAATTCCGCAGTGCACATTGCTGCGTGCACCTCCAAACGGGTAAATGTTCCGTCCCCCTATGTTTTCAAAGGCTTTGAGGAGGTATTCCACTGAAAGCTTTCGAGAGATGTTCCACTTCTGGGGCAACCTTCTAACACACACACACACACACACACACACACACACACACACACACACACACAC